TTACAAAATTCATAAATTCACGAGCAATTATCCCTTTTTAATGGAGCAATATTGATTTTCTTTTTCAAATTATTGTGAATTATTCTAAATTAGAGAGAGGATCATTGCCTTGTAGTTGCCATCTAAGACTTCTTAGACTTGAGTAATGCACCTTAGCCACTATCTAGTGTTAGATTAAATGCATTTGATACTATAATTTAAAAAAATCTACTGTGAAGTGCTTCATCTATTTTCAGGTTGTTCCATTGGAAGTCTTTTAATGTGCTAATTGCCCTTGAAGAAAGTCTAGAAAGGAAATCTGTCTTTCTAAAGCTTGGTTATATTATTTGACATTATTAGCTAGGATTTAGTAAAATGTAAGCTCCTAGGAATGGAATGGAAAAATATTAAGTGTGTACTATGTATACTGAACACTCTTACCAAGTGTAGGGAGAACAAACAAAACCAGTTAGAATCCCTGCTCTCAGGGAGCTCACATTCTACTTGAAGGAAAGAACAGATAAAGGAGGCTCTGACAGTTATGATCAATTCATGACAGATGGAAAATCTCTTGATTTTCTTTCTGTGTCCTCGTTGTTTACTCCAGGGCTTTGCATATAGCAGGTGCTTAATGCTTACTGACCGATAAAACACAAGGGAAACAAGCTTCTTAAGTTAAACATTTAATGTGCTTTTTCTTTTGTCTCTTTAACTGAATTCTAAAATAAAACCAACTTCCTAAGAAAAATAAATACTGAATCTGTTACCCAAATCTGGGGAAAGCCGCTCATAAAATCAGTGTTGTTCTTTGAAGATGGAGGATTTTATAGGACTGTTATGATATTCATTATAATGTCTTACATAGATTCTTTCCCTGGGAGAGCTCAAAATAAAAGCATCTTCCTACATACTTAAAATTGCCTTTTGAGGTAAATAAATGGGTTTAATGTTTCTTTCCTTTGTTATGAAGTACCTGGGACAGTTCCTTGCACATAGTAGGCACTTCACAAATATTCATTGATTGATTATTGAACTACTAAACTAAGTGTGAAAGAAGGTCAGTCACTTGCCAAGAGTGGTCTCAGAACAATACATTGGTAAGGATTCCTATTGGGCTTCTCACAGTTTTAATAATTTTCTAGCTAGCTCATACTGCCCTAGTATTCCTGCTTATTCAAAGTTAACTTCTGAGACCTTATCTTGACATTCAGAAGCCATTCAAGTGCTCTCTTTTTGGAGTGTTATTAACTTTCCTGTTGATAAGAAGCATCATGGATCCGTAGGAGTACTGGATTTGGAGCCCGAGATTGTGGGTTAGAATCCTGACTATGTCACCAGTGTGATGTGGGGCAAGGCCTTTTACTTACGTGTCCTTATCTCTAAAATGATGGAATTGGGTTAGATGCCCTCTGAGGTTCTTCCCAGCCCTAAATCTTTGAGCTTGTTAAGGTTATGTGTAGTCCAAGTCTTCATTCAATGTATCGTGTGTGTGTGTGTGTGTGTGTGTGTTTGTTTGTATGCATTAAAATGTATTTTTGTGGTTGATAAGAGTCAATGCATCTACAGAAAGTGAGGATTTTAATCAATACTGTTATTTTGTAGAAATTCAGTCTCCTTTTTTGTTTAAGTACTGGATAAAAAAAATTCAAGAAAATTAGCTCTTTGGATTACAAGTCTACTATCTACCATTAGAATATTTTGAACTCTTAATTTGATGAAAGCCACCTTAGTAGTCACTGGGGATACAAAGATAAGGCAAACAAAAAATCCTTCCCAAGTGGTGGAAGTGAGGAGGAAGTACAGTCCAGGTATGGGGGAAATGCCTTCTAAAGGCATTGAGGTTGGAGGTGGAATGTCAAGTCTGAAAACTGCAAGTTGACTGTAACAAAGATTGTATGAAAGGGAGTAGTTTGAAATAAATCTTAAAGGTTAGGCTAGAGCAGTTGTGGAACTGGACTGTACCATCTTCATTATTTATATAGCACTTTAAAGTTTATAAAATGTCTTCCTTATCATAAGATGCTGAAGCAGGTAGTGAAAGTATCCCCAGTTTATATGTGAAGAAAGAGGATTAGAGTAGGTAAAGGACTTGCCATAGTCAAGCAGCTTGTAAGTGGCATTTGGCAATTCATTATTCTTTCTATTCTGCCACAGAAGAGACTTGAATACTAGCTAATGGAACCACTTCTTCCAATCTAACAAGCATTTATTGAGCACTCACTATATGTATAAGGCATATTGCTAATGCCTCCATGACATTACATCTATGATTTAGAGTATTAAGATTATCTTCCAGTAATAGATCATCTTCATAATTATATGTTGAAGCTATTTCTTTGCCTTTTTTTTTTAACCAGTTGCTTCAGGGTCTAAGTCACATTTTTGTGTACATTACCACACATTTTAAGGAGTTAAAATAATAGGATTGATTTTTTAAAAATCAACTACACCGTAAATATATCCAAATGAGTCTTGTCCCTTTCAAAGTAGACATCTCTGTGTGTGTATGTGTAAGAGGATGGGGGGGAGCATAAGGGGAAGGTTATATACACTTAATCCAACAAAGTTTCTGTTTTTCAAAATTTTTTCAAATTCCTTTTTTAGAATTGTCTTTAAAGCCAACAGCACTTTATTTTATTTTATTTTTAGTACGTATGTTTATTTTAATTTTTTCTCGATCACATGTAAACAAACATTTTTGAACATCCATTTTAGAAAACTTTGAGTAATTTTCTCCTTCTCTCTTTTCCCTCCTTGAGAAGGCAAGTAGTTTAATATAGATTATACATGACAGTATGTTCTTTTAAATATCCTCAGTGGTGCAGAATTTTTATCCTGTGAGAATAGATTTGCTTTTTTTTGGAAATGATCAGTTCAGAGCCAAGTTTGGAGAATAATGTGGGTGACCAAGGTAGATGATGAAACTGGATTTTGCAATCAAAAATAAGATATAACTGAAGTAATGAGACCAGGCCTCAGATGAAGGCCATTCCAAAAGAACAGACCAGAAATGTGTAGAGTAATAGGAGCACTGATTAGATTAAGTTTATCACCTTTAGAGGGTAACCTTCAGTTTACTTGGATATTTAAGTTTTGCTTGGATTATTTGAGGAAGGAACAATGAAAACAAGGATAGTTTCAGTACTTTCTGTTCATTCAATGTTTTATAATTATTTCTGATATTGCTCTTAGACCTCAGTTTCTGAACTGTAGCTATAATAATAATTTAATATTAGAGAAAATTCCTCTAAGTACTTGCTTTTTGTATTACCCACTAATACTCGTTCAAATAGTGGACTTAAGTGTAAAGAAAAAAGGTAAAGAAAAAGATGGGCTCAAGGAATCTTCCCTAGATGTCCTTGTACTGCTGTGTCCTGGGTTGTGGAACCTGAACTAGGGCTATATATTACATTTTTTTCTGGATGCGGCTATCTTCTTCTTTCAAAGGGTTAGCAGCTGTTCACTGTTTTGATATCTTGCTAGCAATGTTGCTCTTCAAAAACTTGTAAGCACAGAACTTCAGAGACCTAGAAAAATGCTACATGAAGCATGTTGGTAAGACTGAGATGCTAGTTAATGAATCATTTCTTCCAGTCTAACAAGCATTAATTAAATACCCACTAAATGTACAATGCACTTTGTTAAGTGCTAGGGATACAAAAACCAAATGATAAATCACACCTTGAGCTTAAGAAGCTTATATTCTATTGGGGTAGGAAGGGGAATACAACATTTATACAGATAAATTAGCAAAAGATCATTTGAAGAGGGAGAGAATACTAATAACCGGGGAGATCAGGAAAGGCTTTTAGTAGGAGGGTAGAGTACATGAGCTGAGTCTAAAAGGAAACTAAGGATTCCTAGAGGCTAAGGTTGGGTGGGACTGAGAGCAGTAATGAGCATGTGAATTAGGCTGAAAGCTATTTGTGTGAAGGAAAATTGATGGATGGATATGAGATTTATTGTGGAGGTAGAAAAAACAAGACTTGACATTCAGTTGATTGAGTATTGGGGGGGTGAAGGAGTGTTGCAGATGACTGAATCTGAGCAACTGGAAAGATGGTGGTATCCTTAGCGAAAACAGGCAAATTTGGAGGAGGGTTTGGGGAGGGAAAATACTGAGTTCTTTCTTAAGACATGTTGAATTTGAGATGACAGTTGGAGATGTTCAACAGGTAGTTGGTGTCGTGGGACTGGGGCTGGATGTGTAGATTTGAGAGCCTTGGGGGATTCACCCATCCTTAAGCAAAGGCAACTGAGAAGGAGCAGTTAAGACAAGTAGGAATATCAGGACAGAACCTGTCACAAAATGCCAGGGGAAGGGATCCAGGTAGGGTGTGTGGTCATCAGTGTTAAAAAGCTACTAAGAGGTCAGGGAGGACAAAGATTGATTTGGCAGTTAAATGATGTGTAGTAACTTTGATTATATTCCTGTGAATCTTTCTTTTAAGTCTAAAACTGAGATACTATTAGATAAATATGAAATGCAGATTCTATAAACACCAGCAAAAGTATATAATTTGGTAAGTTCTCCTGCAGACCTCATCTGTGTTTTCAGATATATACTATGTTTGTATTTGGTGTATAATTATTCTATTTGGTATGTAAGTAAAGGTTGACAAAACAATTCAATAAGAAGTAAAATAGGGGCAGCTAGATAGTGCAGCAGATAGAGTGCCAGCCTTGAAGTCAGGAGGACCTGAGTTCAAATCCGGCCTCAGACCAAACACTTGACAGTTACTAGCTGTGTGACCCTGGGCAAGTCACTTGACCCCAATTGCCTTTAAAAAAAAAAAAAGAAGTAAAATATTCAATATGTTTAAGAATGACCTGTGAGTAATAGAACTGGAGTTATATAAATCCAAGAAATGAGTTCTTTATGTTAAAAGAGCAAGAATCTGTGTGCCTTTGGAGGTTCATGGGTGGCAACCATGTACTGTGAGAGGGTTTTGGCTACGGGGCTGTGACTTGTATTTTGGACAGAAAGACTTTAGTCTTCTTTTTTTTTTTTAATCTTCTAGAAACCTAAAGTTCTTGCATCCTTATCTAAAGAAGATGAAGCTTCTATTTCCTTTCCTAAGCCTCCAGTGGACCCTGTGAAGATTAGAAGAGTAAGCAGTGCCCGTGCACGTTTATTCAAGGGAAATCTCCTTCCAGACAAAATATTTCATCTTGATGAGTGTAAGAATATCTAAGTGTTCCTAAAAACTTAAGGATAGAACTGTTTCTTAAAATGTGCATGGAAGCTGTTTTTAAAATGATAATTTTCCTAGTCCTCGATGTTGTGGAGAATCTTAGATTCTATTTATTTGACGTGAACTTGTGCTTTTATTTATCTGTATGTTTTGCACATGTGCAGCATAGGCTATTCATAACTCTGAGTTTGGCACTGAAAGTATATAGAATGATAGAAACTTAAGACTGGAAGAAATCTCAAAGGTCATCTAATATAAACCCTTTCAAAATCATGAATCTTAGCCAAAATGCTTCTTTACAAGTAATCATTTAGACGTCACATGAAGATCTCTAGTGAGAGGGGACTTTGAACATATCAGAGTCTGCCTATTACATTTATAAACAACTCTAATTAAGAGAAATTTTTCCCTCTGTTGAGCTTGATTTCCACTTTTGTAACTCCTACGCATTGATTCTACTTCTGCCTTCAGGAAAGAAAATCTGAACCCTCCTACTCCATGAGTCTGGGTCCTTCATGTTTTTGAAGATGGCTCTCATGTGATTGTATTCTCTTTTCAGACTTAAATATCCATAGTTGTTTCAGCCCTCCTTGTATGGCATCGTTACTAGTTCATTCCCCATCCTAGTATTTATCCAAGGCACATACTCCAGCAATCAATTACTATTTCTAAAATTTGGTGCCCAGAATTGAATGTAACCCTCTAGACATAGGCTGACTAGGGCAGAGTAGAGTGGACCTGTCTCTTCCTTTGATCTGGACATTATACTTCTATTAGTACAACCCAGGGTTAGCATTAGTTCTTTTGCTTGTGACATTTTGCTGATTCAAATTTAGACCCCTATGTCTCTTTGATAACGGATTATTTTCTAGCCAAGTCTTCCTCTCTTCTTTTCTTATTCAGTTGATTTTTTGAAAAAAGTACAGGACTTGATATTGATCACTACTAAATTTTATCTTTTCAGTCAGCCAAGTCTTTTAGCTTGTTGAGGTTCTTTGGATCCAGCTCTTATTTATCATAGTAGCTGGCTTTGTTATCTGTAGCATTAGCTATGTCTCTCTGCTTTGTGTCATCCACATATTTAATAAAAATCTATTTATGCCTTCATCAACAAAAAAAGTTGAATAGAACATTGCCAAAGACAAAGAGTGCGCCACCAGTGGCCTCTCTCGAGGTTGAAATGGATCCATTTAATCAACATTCTCTTGAGTCTAGTCTGAATCCTCTTAATAGAGTTCTGAATTTAGATTCTGGAGGACTGTGAGTTCATATTCTTCCTCTGATACTTAGAACCATTTGAGTTCTGTGATACTCAATTTCCTTATATATCAAATGGGACTAATTACCTTCCTGATATCTACACACAAGGTTGTTGTAAGGGTCAAATCAGATCATTCATTAGCATCTGTTAGGCACCTACTATGTACAAAGCACTGTACCAAGCTCTAGGTGTATAGTATTTATACAGATAAATAAGCACATGATAATTTGAAGAGCAGGAGAGCACTAACAAATTAGGGAGATGAGGAAAGGCTTGTCCATAGGGGTTGGTGCCAGAGTTAAGTCCTTAAAGAAAGCTAAGGATTCTAAGGGGCAAAGGGGAAGGGGGAGTGCATTTAAGGGGTAAGGAATGACCAAGGAAAAGGCACAAAGATAGGAGCTGAGATGCTAGATTTGGTGAACAGTGAATAGATGGTTTGGTTAGTAGGTAATGTGTGTGAAAGGGACTGATGTGAAATAAGTTTGTAAAAGGCATTTTGTAAATCTTAAATGTCAACCATTATCATTACTGCTTAGTCTTTGGTGAGTTTGTGTAAAGATGGGCAAAGGTGAGGGAAGTATATAGAAAAGCATAGTCCAGGAAGGAATGAAGGAGGCTAAATAGCTGTAAATTATAGGGGCCTCCTGCCCCTATACCATAGATACTTTCTTCAGGAAAAGAATTGGTAGGCTTGAAATATGGTGAATACCAAATAAAATCATAAACAACAAAATAGATTAAATTTTAACAAACAGCAAAAGACTTGCTATGGATGTGGGAGTTATCCCTGAAGCAGCTGTCTTTGTACATTCATACCATCAACCTGTCAGAGTTAACATCAGAATTAGTAAAAAACAAGAAGAAAGGATAGTAATGAGAAAAAGATAAGACAGACAATTGAAATAACCCTGAATTATTTACCAAAGTGATCGAAAATGGAAAAGAGAAATAACCAACTATAATTTTATCCAGCAGTTTAATCAGTGCAAATTAGTTGCTACAATAAAAGAGCTCAGAAAGCACCTTAGTCAGCAAATATCTAGCTTACTTGCCAACTGGGGAGAGATGACTGCCAAAGGCAGCACCAGGTTAGAATATAAACTTATATGTAAATTTCAAAATAAAAATGATGGTTGATTATGAGCAGGGAGAAACAATGGAGGATAAAACTGATTTTTAAAAAGCTTGGCAAAATAATCCAACTAAACAAAGTCATTCAAAGAGTTCAAGGACAAAAATGAGAGGGCTGCCACCAGAAGAAAAATAGAAAAGATTTGCAAAAATTATTTTAAGGAACTGTTCTCTCCATCAAGGACAGTGGAACTACCACACTTGAACCTTAACATCACATTCCTGCATGTGCTAATACTACATATAAATGACTCTAAAGAAATATGTCATGAAAAGCTTCAAGATTGGGTCAAGTGTGTATGGAGGAGATCAATGCTGGAGGTAACTCAATAATGACGGCATTGAGTGCTTGACAAGATAATCTAGAGGAAGAGAAGATGCTAAAGATATGGAAAAAATCTTGAACCTAATTGATACTGAAAAAAGACAACTATAGGAGAATATCAATAATTCCTGACTTACACTTACTTTCCCATCTATGTAAAATCTTTGAGAGATATCTATATATGAATTGAGGGCCTTCTTGATAAGGGTATTAGTAGGAAACAGACTTTCATGAGTGATTTTCATCAGTGGACTACATCATAAGCATTTCATAATTAAGTGAAAGTTATAAAGAATTATAAGAGATCCCATTATGCTTATCGTTTGTTGATTATAAAGGAACATTTGATTTAGTAGCTCAAAATGTCACCATGTAGGCCCTTTTACAACAAGATGTCTTCCATTTTTACATGAGAATCATTAAACATTTCTTAGACTATGTAATAGCAGAAATAACCATGTTTAAGGATAAATATCAGAAAAGGCATAAAACAGGAAGATATATGTTTTAATAAAAAAATGTTCACTTTGATAGAGGAGATCCAGCATGAACTCCTGATTAAAGAGGGATTCCCTGTGAATAACGAGGGCCTCCTAACACCCGTGTTAGAGATGATATCACACTGATTACATCAAACCCTTGAACATCGCATAGTTTCCTGTAAGAGATCTCTATCCCTTAAGAGAATTTAACCTAATCATTCATTTCAGGATGAAGGATGCCAATTGCCCAAATTTCTTTTAAAATTTTTCCCATTTTCTCTATTTATTATTGAATTAATTAATACTAAATAAGCATTTCCATATACAATGTGAAAGAGAAAAGGAGGCTTATACATTAAAACTGCAAAACTCTGTGATGGAGAGCTTGTTTTTCCTGTTTGTTTTAAGTGAATAAAAAAATCAACATCCAATGTATAAAGTTGTCTTGCTTGTATGATGTTATCCCTTCTGGCCATCTCCATCTCCCAAACTAAAAAAAAAAAAGAGGAAAGAAAGATTTAAAACAAACTTGCACTTTTAAGAAAAGTTTCCTTCATTAGTCATGTCCGAAAATATACGGCTAATTCTGCTTCTTGAGTCTGTCGTCTCTTTATTCAAGACATGAGTAGCCATCTTTGTCACTGGCCTTTGGAATTATATTTGATCATTGTGTTGATCACAGTTCTTTTTAAAAATTTTGTTATTTTTACTGTTCCTTTTAAATTTTGATTTCCAAATTCTCTCCCTCCCACTCACGCCCTCTCTTACCCACTGAGAAGTTAGGCAATGTGTTATCAATTATATGTGTGAAATCATGCAAAACTTATTTCCGTATTAGACATTAATTTTTTTTAAAAGGCAAGAAAAACAAAGCGAGAAAATTGCACTTCAATTTGTACTCAGAGTTCATCGGTTCTCTCTCTGGAAGTGGATATAGCATTTTTTTCATTATGAGTGCTTTGGAATTTTCTTGGATCATGATATTGATCAGAGTAGCCAGGTCTTTCACAGTTGATCATCATTACAACATTACTGTTACTGTGCACAATAATCTCCCAGTTCTTCTCACTTTAGTTTGCATTAGTTCATACAGGTCTTGCCGCGCTTTTCTGAAACTTCCTCATTTGTCATTTCTGATTGAACAATAGTACTCCACTATGGTCATGTGCCGCAGCTTATTCAGCCATTCCCCAACTGATGGCCGTCGTTTCAATTTCCAATTCTTTGCCACCACAAAAAGAGCTGCTATCAATATTTTTGTGCATATAGGTCCTTTTCCGTGTTTGCCATCTCTTTGGGATACAGTCCTAGTAGTGGTATTGCTGGGTCAAAGGGTATGTACAGTTTTATAGCTCTTTGGGCCTAGTTCCAAATTATTCTTCAGATTGGTTGGACTAGTTCACTAATCTACTAACAGTTCATTAGAGTACCTATTTTTTCCTCATCTCCTCCAGCTTTTTTCATTTTTAGTACGTGTGAAGTGGTATCTCAGAGTTGTTTTAATTTGCCTTTCTTTAATCAGTAGTGATTTAGAGCACTTTTTTTTCCCATGAATAAAGATCGCTTTGATTTCTTCTTCTGAAAACTGCCTGTTTCTATCCTTTGACCATTTATCAAATGGGGAATGGCTCTTATTTTTATAAATTTGACTCAGTTCCATACTTAATATATGTTTGAGAAATGAGGCCTTTATCAGAGAAACTTACTGTAAAAAATTTTTATATTACTTCATTGTCTGTGGCACCTTTTAGCAAAATGCAGCTTTCCTGATTATCCCTTTTTAATTA